ATGACCAGTAAATCTGGAATGTAGGTTACTTGAAACTTCCGTTAGTTTCTAAAAGATAGCGCTGAACGTCGCGGACAAGTCCTGATGAATTGCATTAAACTTCTTCGACCGCCTTTCTCACATCTTACACGGAAAAAGGTGGAAAAAGTGGAACATTTATATTAATTTTTCATGAATAATACTGGCTCGGGTCATCCACCATCGCCGGGATCCGAGGTGATTAACGCTGTTCCAACTAGGGCAGTGCTGATCTGTCAGTCAGGGTGTATAGGGTATTTTTCGTGGTTGCATCGAGAGAAGAGAAATATATTAGCAATAAACATTCGTTATTCATTCATATTCTTCCACACATTAAAATTAAAAATGAACCCCACGCAATGAAAAAATAGAGATGAATGCGGAAATGTCAAGTGAAATTAACGTAAATGATGGAAAATAAACTGGCAAAGCAGGCAAACCAAGAACACAGGGATTTTTCACTTGAAGACAATTGCGCAACCTCGACGGGAACTTAATCATTTGTCATCCTGTTCGGCACGGGATTTAAAAAAATATATGCGATGAAATAAACACACAGAGTCGTTTCTTACTTCGAGCATCAATTGTATAGTTATTCAGATTTTATTCATTTTAAGCTTCGGCTATGAATTGCGCTTCCCATTTCCTCGAGTGAAGGTTTCAGAAATGAAATCATAATTTCCAACGGGAAAATTAGCATGATCGACTCCCTCGCGAAAGGAAAAGCCGACACGCTCAAAATAAATCAGACGAGCTCCGTAAACCCAACAATGAATTCAACGGCGCGGAAATTATGCAGAATAATGACGTGAGAACTGAATGAAAATAAAATTGCCCCGAAAAATCAGTACAGTCCTGTTTTACCGTCTTTCCTCGGCGAAATGAATAATTCAAAAACATTTGCACGGAATTATTTAGCTTTCAAGAGTACATAACACAGTACCGTACTTTATTACCATTGCATCTTCGGGATTTTGTTCAAGGCAATGCTTTCTTTCTGAACACACCGGGCTCATTGTCATTATTTTTTAATCGACGAATACAAAAATGAGTTTGGCTCGGAGTTCTTTCACTTTCATGCACACCGGCTCTGCCAAACATATGACGCAATGCGCAGAATGGACATAAGCCACTCACACCCTTATCTTTCTCGTTTCCTCAATACCGATTTTGAATCTACAGTTGACGAAACCGACCCAATCGACCTAGATCCCGTTTGTTGCCTTCTGGCAGGAAACATATTATTTCCGGCGACGATTCACGCTTCGAGCATCTCGGCAGTCCTATTCCGGCGCGATTCCAAAATTCTTTCCGTTACGTGCATCGCCTTTCCTTTATAAAAAAAAACACAAAAATTTGGGGAAATTCTCAAATTCCAGCGATTTTCGGTCCGTCAAGCTCAGAGCAGCAAATGGTTGAATTTATTGAGGATCACGGTCGAAACGACGCAGTCCAGATTGAACGAGACTCGCGTCCTGGATTCCGTCCATTTCGTCTATACAGTATAAGATTCCGATTCTTCCAAATGAAACATTTTTCGTAGCAGTCGTAGTCGTCGGAAGGAGATGGGGGAGGAGGAGCAAGAAACGTTTTTCAAGTCCCGGACTTCCGGATTCTCGCACGTGTGACGACGAATTTCGTACCGAGGCAAAACGCGACAAAAATCAGGCTACGGTCCAGATTCCAAACCTAGCTCCAACATTTTCGACACTTCGCGAAAAGAACCGCCGTGCTCATTTCAACGGTATGTGAATTCCGGACCTGCGGCTTCCTCGGGAAAAATTCACGAAGAAAAAAACAAAAAGCTTCGTGGATTGAGAAATAAATGCTTCATCAACGGGCATGTGGCGCCTCTATCCAGTTCAGAACCGACCTAATAGACTTGAGAAATAATGCCGACACGAATTAAAATGATACATTTTAAGTCAATTTCATGCTTAGGTTATTCCGTGGAATTCGGTTAGAAAAACTCTTTCCAGCTTAACACACATTTATGTAAACGCTCCGGAAGCTATTTGAGTTGAAAGCGTTCAAAAATAAAAATTTTCTCAAGTTTCGATGGTTGGGCATAAGTTTCCTTCCAACTGAGGTATTCTCGACTGTGAGAGTATGATGTAAATTCTTCATGAAGATCGAAGTTGATCAAAGGGACAAAAAATCATGACGAATCAGTGGAAAACCATGGTACATTATGACAATCCGAATCAGATGCATATCACAGAAGATCCGAACAAAGGTTCAAATCCAATGAAAATAAATTTGGCCAATAAAACATTTCTTCTGTAGAATTCAAAAAAATACTCAGACTTATACTTCCTAGAAAGAAGCCCTACATATCAAACCCAACTTTCAAAAGCAACTTTGTATTCAGATCCATTGAACAGTAAGAAATTCATAAATACAAGCGCCGATAATAGTCGAAGCGGTTTTGCTATTACAGTACTGTACTGGTACAAAAACCTCTCAGAAAAAAATTCGAACTTCTAAAACTGTTTCGAAAAACATTGAACATGCACGCAGTGAACAATTGATTCACTCGTAAGCTTGGCCCAGTTTTGGATGAAGAAATTCTCTATTCACAATTTCACATCTCAAATATACAGAACAATGCCTTTCAAAATTTGTTGCCACATAAATCACACAAATGCTCCGAAGAAAATGAAAAACACGCATGGCATCCTCATAATTTTTCGAAACCATTCTCCAATTAAAAATAATATCGACGGAAAAAGTAATTCGGCACCAAAAGAGCTTTTCAAAATGAAATTTGAACAACAACAAAAAAAACAGAAAGGCGTTTTCAAATTTCCGTTGAAGGATGCATTAAATTCTTCTCAAGCTACAGCACGTCATTCGATTGTGATCACGTTTCCTGTTTTCTTATAAATTATAGTCTCCACATGAGAGCTACTCCACTTCTTCCCACGATTAGCAAGAAAGAGACGAGAACAATCGGATTTCAAAGACTCCTCCAGGCAGTTGAGAAAGAAAGCCGACTTTTTTCTCTTTCCATCATGCTTTTTTCTGGACCGAGAAAACCATCCCGACGATGATAAACAAGAAAAACCTGCGCTCGCACGAATCATTCGCAGCCAGATTAGTTTCTCGTGAGAAGTGCTCCATTCCTAGATAAGGAGAATATTTTCTGTCTTCGTTATTCCATCTTCCGGGGGGCACAATGATAATATTCCCTCGATCCTTTATATTTCATTTGAGTAAGGCGACAAATTCTCCGAACTACCGTACTATCTCGCAGGATCAGGAGTACTGATTACATTTAAACGGGATCCAGCTTCATCGCTAACGCATTTCAATAAAATTCGCGAGAGATTTCGAGAAAAGCTCTCACTTGGTTGACGGCAACGTTTGAAAAGGTACGCATTTCGAGACAACAACAAAATTAAAAATATATCTCTTCAGCTGTACAGTAAAGTTATTGTCAAAACGCCGCTTGCGTGAAGCTGCGCTCTCGGATTTAAAAAATACCACTGGAATCTTGAAGAAAGCAAAAAATTCCATTGCTTCGCACACATTTTACTCCGTGAACAACACATTTCTTCATGGAACTGAACGAGTTTGAAATAAATCAGTTTCCGTCGAAAAAAGAAAAGCAGGGGAAATGTACCAAGATGAATCTTGTACTTGGACTATGCTGCAGTGGCCCAATAATATCGTGCACTATGAAGAATTCCCAAAGTATCCCAAGAATGTCCGATGACGAGGAAATGACAATCCACGTCAACATTCATCTGGTGCTTTCCCACAGCGACAAAGCTTCTTCAGGCTTGGAAACAATTAGAAATAAAAATATGCGCGAATGATCGCATTTAATCGAATCTAAGACGCACATTTTTCATGAAAACAAGATTTAATGATCAGAATCTTCAATTCGATGATGACTTACACCCGCCGGTGAAGCGCATTGTTCTTTCTGAAATTCTAAAAATTTAAACAACACACGTGTTTTAGCACAGTCTAAATTTCCGTGGAAAAAATACCTCCCACAATTTTTCGTTCAAGGGCACATGCTTGAAATACTGTACTACAAATGTATTCGACGTGTCCAAAGAGATAGAGCTCGTAATTGCTCAAGTAATCACCAGACTCCTTTGCCCCCGAAGAAAATAAATGCCACTAATGAACGTCTTCTATGCGCAAAAGAAAAATGTGTTCAGAATTTTCAAGGCGAGTCTTCGAATCAATGACGTAAGAACTGCACAGTAGTGATTGAAAAAAAAATCCTTAAAAGTTAGCGTGAGTTATGCACCGGGAAACATCCTCTACGAAATTTTAATTCCATGCAGCGGCCAATGGCGGCTCAAGTCATGACTCACGCGCAAGCGGCATTTCAACTTGAGAAGTTTCCCAAGGGAAGGGAGAATTTTAATATTAAAAAAAAAAAAGTCTGCGGCATGCTCCGAGATATTCCAGACATTCGCATTCACAACTACGTGTGGGATCCAAAAAAGAATACCCTCCCGTCGGTACGTTAACGAAGCGACCTTCGAAACATCAATTAATGAAGGAAACAGAAACCCGGGGAAGGTATCTTCCCCGGGCCACGCAAATCAATCAGAAGCACGCCTCTCATCAACATTCCCCGTGCGCGCGCGAGCAACACAATCCGTCGGCTCGGCAACCCGGAAGCACAAAAAAACTCCCGAATTCACAATGGCAAAGAAAAAAAAAGAAATGTGACTTAGAAGCGGAGGAGAGGGGGGGAGGGGTTTGGAAAAGACCTTAGAGCTGGAAGTATTTAGAAGAGAGAAAAATAACTAATACGGGAGGGGTCTCGGGGAAGGCGGAGGACGCGCAACTCGGGGAGATAACGAGGTCCGACTTACCCGGGTGTTGATGCACGCCTTGCCCTTGGCGTAGCAACGGTGACTCGCCCGCTTCTCGATCTTCGTCCACAAGCTCTGAGCCTTCCATGACTTTAATTTGCTCTGAGGAGAAGAAGAAAAAAAATGAAGACAGTGAGAAGAGACATTAGGCATCAATCGCCCACTTCCAACATGAAATTCCGATCACACGTAGGAAGGCTTTTCAAGATTTACACCCTGGAATTACTGTACGACGGGCCGTTTCAGCAGGCGTCAATTGGATTTGATTTTGCCTCAACGTGAGAACACTGCGAGGCTAACCAGGGTTCTTTGAAATTTTCAACTCACCTACAGATTTCTATCTAGATGGTGATTCTGACTTAGAGATTTACGGTTTCCTCTTTTCATATACTTTACTTAAACCTTGACGCATTCTTCACCCGAGGGTACAACAAGGAAAGGCATCAAAGCTGGAAGAACTGTATTAAAAAGCTAAAACCGCAAACAGATTTTAGATTATGTAAGTTGGAATGCATTGGGTTAGCGACTTCTTATTTCTTGATCGGTTCTCGCAAGTACAGTACTATTGTTTCGCGCTTAAAGGAAAAACATTAACTTTTTGAATGAAAGTTCTTCGAAACATAAATAAAAAATACTGTATGCTGAGCCAAACCTGTGAAATCCAATATTAAATGATAGTAATCCATGTTTGCGATGAAAAATTGGTTTTACACGTCAATTAAAGAAACGCAAGATCATGTACAATAATTTCAGGGATACAGACCACTCATCACGATCTCGATGAAGTACATGACCTGGTTTGACAATCTAAAATCGAAAAAACCCAAGAAAAAATGTTCCTGAACAAGTTTCTTTTAACGGATGATTTATAAATTTCTGATCATCAGATTCAATGTTGCGGCCAATTGCGTAGGACACACGTAACAATGCTTACTCTAGAAGTGAAATCTTTCCACATTATTCTGATTTTCCACATCAAGATTATTTTCCACACCAAGGTAGGCTCATACAAATCGTCAACCGTTCGTAGTCGGCTAAAAACTTCGCTGAACAGAGGATAAGTTACAATAGCCAGTAAGCATTTATTCCCCATGGGACCAAAACCAATTACGGCTGTCAGGAAAAACCTTGGAACCGTCAACTTCGACGCTCCATAAATTGATCAAGGTTACCTTCGCTTGAACAATGGTTATCACGACACGAAAACTTACTATACAATGCAGCGAAGAGCTTCGGTACATCAACGTTTTTCAACTATCGAAAGCTTCACTGTTCATTAAAGCTATACGCGTAGAACGGAAGCAGAATCATGATTGATGACCGTTGGTTTTTTCCCCTTTTTGACTAATGCTTTGTTGATTGACGATGTTCCGAGTTGGAAATTATCAGGGCTCAAAAAATTACAGTACAAACCGCTTGATATGTAGTATTTATTCCTTGAACGTCAAAAGTCCACGGTGATCGAATCTCTTCGGTGGTTGAGGTTTTAAAAATATGCAACAGAGACAAGCTTCGATGGAATGAACAATCTTTGTCACTCAGTCGCGTAGGACGAGTATCGAGGACAATTTTATCTTTAGAAACCACAAAAAAGTGTCGCGGAATCCGCGAAAATGTCCTCAAAGTCGAAATGAGGCTACGTCGACCTCCATTTCTGATCGGATGCGTCGACCATTTTTCCAAGAGTCCATCTGCTCGGACACATATGGTCATCAGACCAGTTGAGGACAGCTTTCAACATGAAATACAATCCCGTTATCCCTTTGCTCAAAAAACTCTTTTGGGTTAGTTATCGTTCTTACTATCGAATCACGCCACTTCGACCTACATTGATTAGAATCAAGAGAGTAAAAGGTTTTTAAACGATACGCTGACCGAAAATTGACCAATAGCACTGTTTTGGCATTCCCGGATGAANGAGTCTCGGAAAGAACTGAGGAAAGTTGTTGGCGAAACTGAAGTTTCCTGTAGATCTTCTTACTTACCCTCAACAAAAATGCTAGTTTCCCTAACTCAAATTTTGTTAGCTGGTCCCTTGAAGTTAGAATTGACATTAAAAAGGTCCAACATGATACGACTTCACGTAATTCTCCTCACTTTACCCTCAACAAAATACTTGGTTACCTCATTCAAAAACTTCCCAACTCAAATTGTGTACGCTGGTCTCTTGAAGTTCGACTTGAAGAAGTTCAAAACAGTTGATAAAAATAAACGCATTTTACTATCGATGGCGTCGAATCATTCTGTTCAGAGTGTATAGGCGTCAATAAAACGTACCTTGAGTCTCGGAAAGAACTGCGGGAAGTTGGTGGGCCGCAAGCGGAGCTTCTCGCACATCTGTCGAAAGTAGCCGAGCACCGTTTTCTGCGTCTGAGCACTCCAAAACTGGTCGAACAATTGCGCCGCATGCGCCAGGTCCTCGCCGCTGACTTCATAGTGGTCATTCTCCACCATCGCCTCGTCAGCAACGACTGACACTCACTCACTCACACTCGGGGGTTTCCTGTCACACGGGGCTCTTCACACGCGCGACATTTACCGGAAATTTGTTTTCGGTTTCCCCGCCCCCCTCGAGTTTTAATCCGTCTCTCGTTAATGATTAAAAAAAGGACACACCAAAAAACACCTGCAGTAGACGGAAGGGAGAAAAAATGAAAACATTGTACACGCATACACTGGATCATCTGCAATGGTCAAAACTGAAGCTTGTGATCCGACGAAACAAGAAGTCACAGTAGAGATGGTTCTAAATCTTAAAAGACTCGGGGGGGAAAAACCTTCAATTCATTAGAAGAAACACACTTTCACGGATAGGAAAAAAACTAACGGAATCATGGAAGGTCCATTGCTGCTTTGTTTTACAGTCGAAAGAATGAGAAACCAGAATCCAGAAGTCAAAGCAATACAAGAACCTTTTCTATTCCAATTCAAAAACACATCGATGCGTTAAGATTGTTATCCCTTTCAGATTGTAAGCGGATCAGGCGTGAAATAAATATGCGCAATCGTGCATAAATGATAAGACTGGCCAGGATTAAATAGAGAATATTTTCTTCATGGAAGTATCTGTCAAAGCCCTCATTCCGGTTTCCGCGTCCGGATCTTTAAAATAGTTTTCGGATCAAGAAAGTCTTTTTCTTAATTTTTTCTGCATAAAATTCGAATCTCAGCGTTCGCCTGAGAAACATTGATTTCATCCATCCAAATTGTCGGCGCACTTCGCACTGAATATTACTGACATAAAAATCCCCGCGATGAAATCAAAATTTTCACACTGAAGACTGAACTGAGGTGTAAGACCTTGAAAATTGTCATAAAGTAAGGAGTGAAATCAAGTTTTCCGCACGCAGAACATTCAAAACGCTTTCATCTTCGAACTTTTGAAGCATCCCTCGCGGAAACCACATTATGGAGATCGACGCGATAAACGTGGCACCATCGATCAGAACAGGCTGGAAACACCTTCGAACTCGACGAGAATGTCTGAACATTCAGCTTCTCGTCCAGTAATCCATCGATTCACATTTATTTCACTCACTCTCCAAAAATTATTTTGCCTTCCGGATGAATTATCTCGCTTCAAGTAATTTTACGGCATAAAAAATCCCGCTTCATTTCCGCGAACCGCGATAAAAAAAATTTTCCGCAATTCCTACGCCTTATTTTCATCCCGGCAAAAAATGATCAAATTCCGAAGATAAACGAATGATTTTCTTTTACAACACGACGAAAATGTTTGAGAATCTGTATTCAGTTCCTGGTCAGATCAATAGAAACATATTCTTTAATCCTCGAACTGTTCCTTGTTCGCAGATCTAATTTTTCGGTTTCATGCAAGTTTTTAACAGGTGAAGCTTCAATTCTGCGGGTAGCCAAAATAAATCTTCAAAACGTCCCCCACCCCTTCTTATTTTTTCCCGGAGAAAAAAAAAACGAGATAATATGAATCGAAGGATAACAGAATGCTTTCTATTCCGAACGCAACAAAGAAAATGTTCCGGATCGAACCTCTTCATCAAACCAGAATATAAAGAAACACGGAGCACTTTTATTTTCACCGAGATTACGTACGTCATTCAACAAAGGTCCTCTGTTCAATCACACGCACACAAGCCGACAACACGCACCTACAGACTGGAAGAAAAAAAGGAAACCTTCGACCCGCTTTCTTCCAAGATAATCGCAGAAGTGAGTGATCGCAGGCGCATAGATACGAAGTTCTAGCACACCACCACGTGTTTGCAGCAGACGTACTGTGTTCTTCCCCCAAGGCAAATACTGTACTACACCCCGCGTATGAAGCCAAGGCAGAACTTTTCATCGACTAGAAGGCACGTGTACAATACAGCACAGTACTGTACACTTTAAAGTTTCAAAGGATACTTTTTATGCGCAGAGGGGCTGAACCACCGCTAGAGAATGACTGACCGATTTTCGAACTTCGTATATTGAAAATTAAAAAGCTGGAAATAGAAATTCAAGTTCCAATAATAGCGGAACCGGATTGCGTTTGCCTCGCGATTTTTAAATGCAGGAGGTACTAGTAAATGGTAAACAATTTCTCAAGCGCACATTGTACACTGAAAAGTAAAAAGCTGGAAATGGCAATTAAAGTTCTAATACTAGTTGAACTAAATTACGCTTGACTCGTGATTGTTAAATACAGCAGGTACTGAACAATCATTGACGTTTTTCCAACCACACATTGCATACTGAAAAGAAAAAAAAAGCGGGAAATGGGAATTTGTGTTCAAATACAGTAATAGTTGAACTGGATTGCGTTTGACTCGTGATAAGTATATAATGCGCTATGAACAGTTACAATATGGTCACTACAGTCATTAAACTTCTCTTCGCGATAATTTTTTTAATGACATTTCCGGTTCACAGTTCGTAACGTGAAGTATTTGGAAAATTCGACTGTCGCTGGGTAAGTCGTAGTAATCATTTAAGAAACGGATCTGAATAACAGCTTCTCACCAAAATAAAAATGCGTACAAAAGGTCGAATCATGTTTTTCTCCTAATTCTAATCTTCCTTATTTCTTGTGTACCACGGGTCTCCGGAATTTTCATCTTTCGACACATTCCAATCGTAGTTCGTCATTTTTTTCTAATTAATGTACTGTATATCGGATAAGTTACAAATGAATGTTCTCTTGGTTCATCGGGGAGAAGGTTAGCATTTCAGGAATATTTTGATTGTTTTTCCGAGAAAACACTGATCGTCGCTGAGAAACTGAACATATGTAAACAAAAAAATACATTTTAATCCTGCCATATGTTGGATGACCAACCTTATACGCTAATCCTGTAACAATGGTTC